AGAACACAAATTTCCAATAAGGGAGCGAAACAAGAAGAAAAGAAAAAGGGAAAAGGGGCGACAGAAGAACCAATCAAAGAATGAACAGTTCAAGTACAACGGCGACAAGAAATTACTACAACAACAAGGCAAGAATTGATCTTTGAACAAAAAAGAAGTATACAAGGGCAAATTAGCAACACAATAAAAGGAAAAAAGGGCAATCTTTGGGAAAAAAATATATACTTAATTCAACAAGGGAAGTACAAAAATGGCGGAAGATGGTTAAAAGATGATACCTTTTGATGAACGAGCAACAAATATGGGGTAACCAAAGCGTAATTCACGGCGAACTTGCGGCGGGTGGCACCCAAACAAATTGCAGAACTACGAGCGAAGGAGATGGAGAAAAAGAGGAGTTGGAAGTTGGAGCAAGAAGAAAGTAATTGTGAAATGACAAGTGAGTAAAGGAAAAGAGAGAGAGGAAGAGAAATTTCGAAAGTAAAATGGGATTAGTAGAAATGCGAAAGACGAAAAGAAAAGAAGGAAAATTGAATGCCGGGCATTAAATGACATTTACCTACCCAAAAAGGGAGGTGACCACCTACTAAGCATAGCCACGTCGTAAAAAAAAAAAAAAAATTAAAATTCACCGGGAGTAATCAAAGCTCCTCGCTCAGCCTCAGCTCGTCGCTTTGAAATAACTTCAGCGGGAGTAATCAAAGCTCCTCGCTCAGCCTTAGCTCGTAGCTTTGAAATAACTTCAGCAGGAGTAATCAAAGCTCCTCGCTCAGCCTCAGCTCCTCACTTTGAAATAACTCCAGCGGGAGTAATCAAAGCTCCTCGCTCAGCCTCAGCTCGTCGCTTTGAAGTAACTTTAGGGGGAGTAATCAAAGCTCGTCGCTTTGAAATAACTTCAAGTGGAGTAATCAAGGCTCCTCACCTTGACAATCTAGCATGACGCACCTTACTGGCAGAGCTCTCTGAGCCTCAATTCAGCTAATTGCAGATATAAGACTCAGGGGGGCTAGTTGTATGGGGAAGATTTCGGTCAGCAAATCCAGCTATGTAATGACCCAGCAAAAGTCAGACACTTGGAAGAACTGGCATGAATCCATCGTACCACCTTTTGGGGGGCTAGTTGTATGGGATAGCTCCAGCAGAGCTCGTCCCATGCTCCTAATGTCAGAGCAGAAAAGCATCTCCAGTCAGCAAGAGCTGGCCTGAGTGCCTCAGACCACCTCTTGAGGGGCTACTTGTATAGGGTAGCTCCCACTTGGCTGACTCATGCTCCGAGCACCACTTGAGAGTTGCGCACTTGTGCCAGTCCAATTTGAGGCCAGGGAAAACCTCCCAGGGGCCCAACTTCATGGCTGACCCCAGCAGGCTCCACCTCGGAGGCAGGATCGATCTCTCAGGGGCTCAGCCTCATGGCTAACCTCAGCAGGCCTCAGCCTGCAACACCAAGAATAGTACAACTATAAATATCAATACAAGTACAACGGAAAAGAGGTCAGACACATACATTTCATCACTTATCCATTATTATTCACCTAAAACCTTACTAACTTAAGCATCGGAGGGGGGTTCCTCGAAGCCACCCCCGAGGGCATAACCACCGTTCATTGTGCAGGTAATCCCAGCCAACACCCAGATCCAGCCACCAATTAGGCTCCGGAACAATTATTACTACTATTATTAATATTATTAGTTCATCATCATCATCATCATCATCATCATCATCATCATCATCATCATCATCATCATCATCATCATCATCATTATTATTATTATTATTATTATTTTTATAACATTAGAAAATGTGTTAAATAATATAAAATATTAATTATTACCGTTAAATATTAGTTATTATCATCAATTAATAATATATATTAATTCTTATTACTATTATTATAAATATTAAATATTAATAATTATTATATATAAATATTAGTTATTATTAATAAATATTAATAACTTTTATTTTTATTTTTATTAAATTTTAGTTTTAAGTAGAGCAGAGCAGAGTAAGATAGGATAGGGAAAAGTAGAGCAAATTTCAGCAGAGCATAGCAGAGCAGGGCACGGCGGAGTAGAGTAGACCAGAGCAGATTTCAGTAGAGTAGATAGATTTCAGGAGAGCAGAGTAGAGTAGAGAAGGGCAGAGGAGAGTAGCTCTAAAGAACAGGGCCTTAGAGAGAAGATTGACTTTCTTGCCGTATAATATTGCCATTTGCTAGTAACCGGTCACCACATGTTACATACTTCTTAATTTACCAATTTTCTGAGGTAACTGTCTCTCTATACTTTTCTTTTTATCATTCTTTATTGTGCATTTGTGCTGCTTGTTTTTGCAAAATTATCATGGATTTACAATCACACATGGCACAGCCTAGGATAGGTTTCAGCGGGTCTCCTAGTACGGCTGAATCTAGGACTACGGGTGTCGTCTCCCCTCTTTTGGACTCTCTCACTTGCTCGTCCACGAATCCGACCATCTATCTGTCTGTGCTAGACACTATGGCTCAGACTAAAAAGATGGCCCTAGGCCCTATTGATGAAGGAGACTGATGAGTGACATTTATGTCACTCTTAGGGGTAGCATTTAGGTCTTTTTCCTCTTATTTTTCTTAGTTTTTTCCACCTCATTTATCCTTTTATGGCTTCTTTATGTATTGATGAAAAGTAATGCTTATTTGCGCTTATTTTGATAATCTTTATGCATTATTTTATCATCCCCATGCTCTCGTGAACTTTGGTATCTTCTGCAGGTTCCATGACGGTCCTATGCACGGTGGGAGGCCCCTTGGCCAAGTATGGAAGCCATGGACAAAGGCAAGAGGAGTAAAAGGGAAGGAGAGGAAGCAAGAAAAGGAAGTGCAAGAGGAGGTGTGGCCGAATCTCTGAAAGGTCCGGTCGAACCTAGGTGTGGTCAAACTTTTGAAAAGTTTGACCGAACCTCCTGGGTGCAGTGAAGGCAGTGTCAAACCAGTTTTCAACAATTTTGCAGGAGAGGTCGAACCTCAAAAGTTCGACCAAACAAGGATCAGGGAGGTTCGACCGAACCTACACAGAGTTCGACCGAACCTACCCTGAGTCCGACCGAACCTACCCAGAGTTCGGTCGGACCTTTTCCCGATCTCAGCCAATTTTGTACGGACTATTTAAGGTCCTTTTGAGATCGTTTTTTCGGGAGGAGAGAAGAAAAACAGTAGCCTAGTTTTCAGAAACCTCTCTTAGTTTGAAACATTCCTTAGGATTAATTTAGCTTAGTTTTCATCAAATCAAATCATTGTATTAGTGAAATTCAAGAATTATTCTCAAAGTTTGGCAATTTGTATTCAACATTTGAAGCTTCAATTAGTAATTTCTCCAACCTTCTTCCTTTTAATTTCAGATTTTATTTGGTATTTGCATGTTATTTAAATCTTCTTAGTTCTTGGTAATTTGTTATTGGATGATAGTTATTTCAATTGTTAACCACTTTTACCCAATTATTGAAGTATTTAGAACCCTAATTCTTGATTGCATGTTGATAAACATGAGTTGTGAGTAGTCTTCTTGCTAGGGGTTGGGTGAAGCTCGACCTTTTGGGTTAACTATGCAAATGTGGGAGAAGCATTGATGTTTGTATTGCAATTAAATTGATTATATGAGATTGCTTGTTAGTTCCTCATGATAGGTTTAGCTACCCTTGACTAAGGAGCTTGATAGTATGATATGCCTAATTTGGCATGGAAGTGTAAATTGAGTACGTCATTACTTATTGTAATTTTATTATGTATCATCTATTGCTAAACTAATGAGGAATCTAAGTTTAGTAGTGTGAGTTGTTTTCTAATTGCATGAGGTTGATTTTACATATAGTCCTTGCTATATCTTGTCTACTTTACTCCCCGTTTGCCTATTTGCCTTGGTTGAGTGGATCTCATTCCCTAGTATCTTTAATTCATTGATTTAGAACCATAGTTTGTTTGTCTTCTTGACGAACCCCAATTCACCAATTGACTTCAAGTTAGCTTAAGTGTAAAGATCTTTGGCAATCATATCCCGTTCCTTGTGGACCGAACTCTTACTTGTCATTATGCTTGGTTTGTAAGGTGTTTGTTAATAAATGTGTTTGATTGAGTGTGGAATGTACGACCGTTCTAACGCCCATCAGAGACGACACAATTAGGGTGCTTCTCAGTGACGTATTTGATCACCCCCTAGTCATCCAAGTATGTCGAGTGACTTCAGTACAGGGTAGCTCCCGCTGAGCTAACCCACGTCCCAGCACCACTTGAGTGGTGCGCGCTCACGCTAGTCCAGCCCAAAGCCAGGGATAATCTCCTAGTGGCTCAGCCTCATGGCTAACCCCAGCGGCTTCCAGACCGCTGCACAAGGAATAGTACAACTATAAATAGCTAGCCAAGTACAACGAAAAGAGGTTAGATAACACATTTCATCACTTAACCATTACCATTCACCTAAAGCAATACTAAATTAAGCATCGGAGGGGGGTTCCTCGAAACCACCCCCAAGGGCAGTAACCACCGCTCATTGTGCAGCTAGTTCCAACTAAAGTCCAGATCTGACCACCGACCTAGCTCCGAAACTACACCCGGAATAATTAGCGCTAGAAGGAGAGCGTAGTTCCGACGCTTTAGCTCAGCTGGTTAGCTTATCTGAAGTTGGGAAAACCACCATGATAGGGGAAAAACCATATACGACGAACACAACACCCATAATCGATAACACTCAAACACCACAAAACAAACCCGATCCTGAAAAATCCGTTGCAAAATCAACTCTGACCAGTACCTAGTACCTAAATCCTACTGGAGCTTCTTCGGGTATCACCAAAAACACCATTGGAGCTCATAGACCAATAGGACCAGCTTAAATAGTCCGATTCGGAATGCGATTCACAAACCAAAACAATGAGGTATACTCAAACACCACCCGGAAAATTCTAGGCAGTGTAGATACTGGATGTGCTGCGAAATCTGTCTCAGTGCAGTAAGGATCAGCTAGCTACTATGACAGCTGTGTTGAACTCATTTGGAAAAAGGTCAAGCTTCACTCGTCTGCTGGCACCTGTCGGCCATGCATCTACTAGGTCGCCTGAACTCAATCTGACCCCAGAGCTGAAAGAGCTGCCAGCCCTGCTTAAGAGGATAAAGGAGCTGGAGGCCAGGAATTTGAACAAGGAATGGAGTATGGAGGAATCGGGAGAGGTGCTAGCTGGGAACGTCCATAGCAGATCTCCAACGCACAGTCGATCTTTGAGTCCTGAGCTGACAAAGAAGGCAAAGCTTATGGTGATCCCTGAGGACTCATCCATCTGTAAGGAAATCTTAGAGGAGCCGATGGAAAAAATTAAGATGCCCTCGTGCAAGTATAACGGCACAACGACTCCAAAGAACCATCTGTTTGCCTTTGAGAGCCATGTGGTCTTATATACATGAACTGATTTAGTATAGTGTAAAGCCTTCCCTCCTACCCTAGAAGGGCTGGCAGCAGAATGGTACCGCTTGCTTGAGAAATGGTTAGTCTACTCTTGTAATAGTTTGAAGAAACTGTTCATGGACCACTTTGTTACGCTAGTGGATCGCACCAAATGATAACAGAGCTAATGTCACTGGAGTAGAGAGAGACAGAATCACTCAGGGACTTCATCACTCAATTCAACAAGGAGGCAACCTCAATCCTTAATATGAATGAGGAAGTGGCCCTGTTGGCGATGTAGAGTAGCTTGTTGCCAGGGTCAACATTTAGGGAGTACATGGGCAAAAAGAACTTGAAAACCTTAGTCAAAGCCCTAGGAAAAGCCATGCTGGCTAGAAAGTCGATCTCTTCCAAATCAGGAAGAAAGGCAGAGCCGAGTGGCGCAAAAGCAGTAGGTAGAGTGGATACGAACTCTGGCGGAGTCGGAAGGGTGGACCAGCAGAGAAGAGATAATGACAGGGGCGCAGGTCAGAGGAGAGCGGGGCTGGGCAGAGGGCGTCTGCAAGGCAGATATGAACAATACACGCCTTTGACCCATAGCTGGTTACACATCTTCAATGTGAATAAGTATGACGACAAGTGGCAGAAACCTCCAAGAATGACCACGCAAGACTTGGACCCAAAGAAGTGGTGTGACTTTCATAGAGACAAGGGTCATATAATTAAGGAATGCACCCACCTCAAAGACAACATTGAAGATATCATCAAGAGAGGATAACTGAATAAGTTCAAGCAATACTCTGACTAGGACAGGGCTCGGGGTCACGTGAGACCTAGAAACGAGCGATGGAAGGACAATAGAAATGACAAAGACAGACGTGAGAAGAAAGACAGAGACAAAAAAAATGCCAGGCTAAGCGCGTGTGATCAGTGGTGGGCCTGTATATGGCGGAACAATTGGTCGAGCAAGGGCCGACCTCAGAGATTTGGTTCACCAAGTGAACTATAATGAACGTAGAAAATGGCCACCTCCACTACCCCAGCCAAGAGTAGTGTTTGATGAACAGGACTAGCAAGGCATCCTTTATCCTCGTGATGACCCCCTAGTGGTTTCCATGATAATTGCAAACTGGAAAGTCTAGAGGGTCCTAGTGGATGGGGGGAGTTTAGCCAACATCATGTTCATAGAAGCTTTCCGCAAGAAGCATCTAGATGATAGAGACCTCAAGAGAGTAAACTATGAGGTCACTGGATTTGATGGCTCAAGAATAATTCCCGAGGGTATTATAGAATTGTCAGTTTAAATTAGAGAGGGAGCTCAAACCATATTTGTGAGGGCAGAGTTTCTGGTCATCAACTCTCCATCTCCCTACAACGTGATAATGGGCAACCCCTTATTCACAAGATTAGTGGAGTGGTGTCCACATTGCATCTAGCAATAGCATACGCCAACAACAGAGGCTGCTTAACCAAGCTGAGAGGTTGCCAAAAAACAGCTCGACAGTGCTACATTACCGCCCTGTGAAACCCAGTAAAATATGGTTCTCTGCCTAAGGTACCAGAGGAAGTACTCCGGGAAGAAAAAAATCTCGAGAAAAAGGAAGCGACAAGAGTACAGAAAAGAGAAAGAAAAGCAAAAGCTAGCCATGGAAAATTTTGAGCTCGAGAAGGAAGACGTAGCTCGCCTAACCCTAGAGGGGGAGCACGAGGTAGTTGAGTTGGTCGAGGGGGATGAGTCCCGGACAGTAAAGATTGGGAAAGACATCGAGACTAATGTTAGAGTAAACTTAATAGCTCTACTTAGGAATAACGCAGACATATTCGCATTTCAGCAGACGAAATGCTTGGCATATATCCAGAGGTTATGGAACACCGTTTGAATGTCAAGGTAGAGTCAAGGCTGGTGAAGCAGAAGCTAAGAAACTTCTCAGCTAAGAAAAACAAGGCCATCCAGGAAGAAGTGGACAAGCTCCTAGCAACCAAGTTCATTGAGCCCTGTGACTATCCAGAAAACCAATGGGCAATGGAGAATGTGAGTGGATTTTACAGACTTGAACCGTGCCTGCCCAAAAGATTGTTACCCCCTGCCCAGAATAGATCAAATGGTAGACTCAACAAGCGGGTACAACTTTTGAGTTTCATGGATGCCTTTTCAGGTTACCATCAAATCAGCCTGTATGAGCCAGACAGAAAGAAAGCAGCCTTCATCACCGATTGGGGAGTGTTTAAATATGTGGAAATGCCCTTTGACTTGAAGAACGCAGTGACGACATTCTAGAAAACCATGGACAAAGTCTTTGCTTAGCAGAGGGGTGAAATATGGAGGTTTATGTAGACGACTCCATAGTAATAAGCCTAATGACACAAAATCACGTCTTTGACCTAGAGGAAACATTTAGCACATTGAACAAGTACCATATTAAGCTAAACCAAAAAAGTGCGTTTTTGGGGTAAGATCAGACAAGTTTCTGGGTTTCTTAATGAGTAAAAGTGGGATTGACGCAAACTCAGGAAAGATACAAGCTGTTCTAAGTCTTCTTGAGCCCAAGAGCGTTAAGGACATCATCAGATTGACAAGCAAGATGGCTGCTCTGACCAGATTCATCAGCAAGTTAGCAGACATAGGCCTCCCATTGTTTCAACTCTTGAAGGGAAATCACACTTTTAAGTGAGAACAGGCAGAAAAGGAGGTGTTTGCCAGAGTGAAGGAACACCTAGTTAACCTGCCAACAATGACAATCCCAAAAGTAGGAGAAAAATTACAGCTATACATCTCAGCATCACAGCAAACGGTTGGGTCAGTATTACTTGTAGAAAGAGGTAAAGAGCAGCACCCAGTTTATTTCATTAGCCATGTCCTGACCCAAGCAGAGCAGAGACACTCATTGGTAGAAAAAATGGCTCTAGCCGTCGTCATCACAGCCAAGAAACTTAAACCATACTTTGACGCTCATGTCGTACAGATACTAATGAATTATCTATTAGAGAAACCATTATAGAGAATGGACGCCTCAGGGAGGCTATAAAATGGCTAATTGAGTTGACTAAATATGAACTTGAGATCAAACCCCGCACTGCAATAAAAGCTCAAGCCCTATCAGATTTCTTGGTGGAAGCAGGCTATGAAGAAGTGGAGGAAAATGTGGGTACCTGGATGGTGGTTGTGGATGGCTCGGCTGCCCAAATAGGCACCAGAGCTAGGATAATCATGACAGCAATAGAGGGCAATGTTTTTGAATATGCAATTAAGTTCAAATTTAAAGCCTCTAATAATGAAGCCGAATACGAAGCCACACTGGCAGGTCTGAGAATGAGTTTGGCAGCAGGTGAAGGTTAAACTCCAGACTGACTCGCAACTAGTAGCGAGCCAGCTTAGGGGGGAGTATGAGACCAGAAAGCCATTGATGCAGAAGTATGTGGCTGCAGTGAAAGAATTAACAACCTAGTTAATTAATTCTAACATCGAGTTGGTCCCTAGGGAAGAGAATGCTCAGGCAGATGCACTGTCAAATCTAACCAATTCAAAACTACAGAGCCTTAGCAAAACAGTAATGGTAGAAGTCTTAGAAGACAAAAGCATTGAGGGGCAGAGGCAGGTGAACTGCACTAGTCAGCAGAGAGCATGGTACTCAGATATAATGGCATACAAACTCCACGAAACATTACCTGAGGATGAAGAGCAGGCAAAAGGGGTAAAAAAAAGGAGTCATATAGATACATAGTGTTGTATGGAGAACTATGCAAGAAAGGGTACTCTAAGCCTGCCCTTAGATGTATCCCAGAATGGGACCAATAGGCGGTTATGAAGGAAGCCCACGAAGGAATTTGCGCGAATCACATAAGAGGAAAAGCCCTGACAGTTGAAATCATTCGGCGAGAAGCATACTGGCCAACTCTGACCCAGGATGCCCTCGACTATGTTAAAAAAGTGTGAGCAATGCCAAAACTACTCCCTAGTAATAAACCAGCCTGCCAATGACCTCACACCAATTCTCAGCCCTATTCCGTTCGCTCAATGGGGAATGTACATCTTAGGGCCATTCACCAGTAGCTCAGCGGGCAGGAAGTTCTTAATTGTGGCAGTAGATTAATTACTTTACAAAGTGGATAGAAGTAGAGCCCACCAAGTATATCAAGGCCTCCCAGGTCAAAATGTTCATATGGAAGAATATCATCACTAGGTTTGGAATTCCGCAGTACATAGTGTTCAATCGCGGGTGTCAATTCGATTGTGTTACCATCATGGATTACCTTGAAGAGATGGGGACAAAATATGCCAGCGCTTCCATTTGCCACCTACAGAGCAATGGACAGGCAGAAGCTGTCAATAAGCAGATACTCTACGTTCTTCAAAAGAAACTAGAGGAACATAAAGGCTTGTGAGCTGACCTAGTCCTAGAGGTGTTATGGGTAAATAGAACAACAGATAAGGAGGCAACATGCAAAAGCCCCTTCTCGTGGACATATGGGGCTGAGGCAGTAGTTCCCGTCGAGGTGTAGCTCCCAAGTTTGAGAGTACAACACTATGACAGCTAGAGCAATGAAAGTAGAATGAGGGAGGAACTAGTTCTCCTGCCAGAAGCCAGGCTGAAAGCTGTCCTGAAATTAGCAGCATAGGAGAGCAGAATGGAAAAGTCTTTAACAAAAGGGTGAAGCACAAAGAGCTCAACGAGGGAGATTTAGTGCTGAGACAAACAACTACAATGGGCAGAGAAAAGTGTCATGGTAAGCTAAGTGCGAATTGGGAAGGACCCTTCATAATACACAAGCAAGTGGGGCAGGAGCCTATCTACTCTTTGACCAAGAAGGCTGCATCCTGAGGAATAGTTTCAACGCTGACGTATTAAAAAGGTTCTTCATATAACTTAGCGCTTTGCTTTAATATTTAAAGTTTTCTCTAGCTTTAAATGAAGAAGGCTTAGATGCTAGCTTAATTAAATTGTAATACAAAAGTGGAATATTAACCTCCGCGTGAGGCATTTCACATTATTAATGGAATATTAACCTCTGCATGAGGCTTTTCCTAATATGACGTTTTGTTTATAATTTGTTTGTTTATTTGCGAACAACTATTTGTTTTTGCCAGATTAACTAGGAGAAAGAGGGGTGCTGGAACAATGTAAACCCAGGGACAAATAAGTAAAAAAAAAGGAGGCAACATATACGTCTCATTAAAGCCTCGCTAAAATAAAGCGATGGTAGAAACCCTGTTTACTAAAAAATAGTGGCATAACATCGAACCTCACTATAACAAAGTTATGGCATAAAAACCCAAAGCCCTAGCCAAGAGGTAGAGGATGGGCAGAAAAACACAAATGAAAGGGCCACAATTCTGCGTCGAACATGTTCTCAACCTTGGAAGGGAGTGTTACAACGGGGACGCCTGGAAACACCAGTAAGCAAAGATAGCCAGCAGCGCAGCCAGGTGGCCAGTGATGTCAGTCGAAAAGGGGATGACTTTAGAAGGTGTAACACGAAGCACCCTTTTCTTCTAACAACATACTACTAGGCCCTGCCAACACTAAATAAAAGCATGCAATATGGAAGGAACAAACAAGAAAGAAAGAAGGCTGAAAATAAGCGCAAGTGCAGCAAGTCAAAAGTAAAGCTTGTGCAAGACACCCCTTGGCACTTGGTAAAACCAAAGTGAGAATTCTAAAATCGCAAAAATATTGTCACAAAAAAAAAAAAAAAAAAAAAAGAGAAAGGTTCCAACAAACGGCCAGAGCACACATACCTCAAAAGCCTCAAGTAAACATATACCCACTAGCTGCCATGCACCCTAATTGAACAAGGAAACAAAAAGCTAACAGTACTAGCTTACTATAGAGTAGGGAGAGAGATACTCAGATGAGCCATTGGAAGAAGAAGGAGATGGCCGCCAAAACCTTTATTGGTTGGCAAGCAGAGCCTCCACTCCAATGGCAGCTGCAATGTCAGGAGATTCAGCAGGAACTTTGTTAAGAACGACATGGGCTGGAAAACCACAAGCAGCCACGCAAGGATGATCAGTGGGGTAAACATAAGCATCCCGATTCCCTACTCGGTCAACCCTAGCCCAAAACAGCTCAAACTTCTCCTCTTGTTCCTCGCCTGTGCTAAAAACTTGATTAGCACTCCTGCGTGCAGCCTCCCAACCTCCGTCGTGACTATTAGTGAGCAAATTCGCAAAAGTGGGAGAAGAAACAAACTCACCTAAAGCACTCCTGCGAGCTGCCTCTAGTTCCATAGCATGGTCTCCCTCTAAACGAGCCACGACTGCCTCCAAATCCTGCACTTGAGCATGAGCCCTCTTCAATTCATCCTCGTGCTCAGCTAGCTTCTAAGCTGCAGGAAAATACTCAGCCAGTTGAAGTTGGGCAGCTTCCAACTCGTCAAACTTCACTTTCAACCCCTACTCAAGCTCCCCCTTCTCTACCAGCACTCGCTCCAGCTCGGCATTCTTCTCGTTTAAGCTCGAGCCCTAGATTGATACTCTTTCTCAACAGATAATAAGGCATTTGCTAAGTCACCAAAAGAGCGAGTAAGATGAGCACACAAAAGAAAAAGGAAGGCAATGAGACCTCAAATGAAAAACAATCAAGGATATCATAAGGTAAAAAACAGAAAGAAGATCAAAAATACCTTTTGCAAATCATGGCAAGCAGCAACAGCTAGAACGCGGACATACTCATTCCCTAATTTAGCGGGGAGCTTGATACCCTAGATCAGCCTAAACCCAAGAGTACCTCCTTGAAGGGGATCATCAAGAAAGATAGATTCGTCAGCGTTGATGTTAATTGAGGGGCAGAAGGGCTCATTATTAATCTTAGAAGGGTACAACACAGGTTGCAGAGAGGGGTTAATATGAACCTCAGCGAACTCAAGAGGTCTAGCTTCCTTAAAAGTTCCACCCGAAGACTTGGAAGAGATAGAGAACGAGTGAGCATAGCCTTCTCCGAAGTATTTGTTCACACAACGATCAAGGTCACTAGAGGCAGAAGCAGCTCCACCTTGAGAATTCAACTCAGCGGCAAGTTCAGATTGGCTAAAGGCTGAAGCAAACAACTCTTCCACAGTGGGAATCCGAGGCCTCTTGGGAGAAGGCTCACGTGGAGGAGAAACAGGCTGTAAGTGGATGACAATAGTGGGGCCTCATATGTCGGATGTGCTACGTGAATGCCTGCCCGACATTGGCTACGCAAACGACCTTGATATCCATCAGTGGGAACCCTAAGCTGAGAGACGGGGCTGTGAAGTAGCCCTAGGAAGTGTAATAGTAAGACCTGTAGAAACAAG